CCTCCCCCTCCCCCCGCCCCGGCGTGCAGCTCCGCCAGCCAGGGGGCGGGACAGACTCCAACTGTTCGCTGCAAAAAAGAGCCTTTGACAAGTGTCCCCACCCACTGTCAGGTGGCAAAGCCTCCAGTCCACCCAAGCTCCCGGGATCTGCCAGCTCATCTCCTCGTCCCAGATGCCCCCAGGTCTCCAGGAGCACGCGTCCCGGCCCAACTGCCACCTCGTTCCCACCCGGGGGCCTGGGCAAAGCCACCTGGCTGTCCCGGGGCGACGCGCACACGGCAGTGCCGAGACTCACGCAAATAGACGGGGTCGCTGTCAGTTCTAGAGCAGCTCCGAGCGCTGACGAGAGGTCACACCATGCGACCTGGGCGAGGCTGCGCCACAGCAGGAAGCAGGTGTGGGGGGAGGAGGCTGCCAGGACCGAGGCTCTCCACGGAGCTCTGCTGCTTGTCTTGGGGGTGTGTTTAGCCAAGCAAGCGTTCTGCAAACATTGGCTGAACAACCCGCTGTTCTCAAGCAGCTCGGCCCCATTTGTGCCAAGTGGAGTGGTGGGTGGGAGACCTGAGTTCCAAAGGGGAGAAGGGGCCGACTAAGGACAATGGGGCTTCACCGAGGCGCTTGGGCTGGGGGTGAGCTGCCGTAGAGGCAGGTGCACTCTCTCCGGGCGATGGCAAAGGTGCACACCCAGGTGTGCAGGACAACTTCCCTGCGTTGGCATAACTTCCAGCAGGCAGCCTAAGAGGTCAGCTGGGTGTCCTTGTGGGATCCACAGCCTCCCTGCCTGGCCGGGATCCCTTGACTGGCTGGCCGTGCGCCTGTCACTTAACCTCCCCCTGCTTCAGTGTCCCCATCTTCAAAATGGGAGGAATAGAACACCTGCCTTACTGGGCCAGAAGGGTTACCACATAGATAGCACTCGGTGTCTGGTACATGGGAAGCTCTCCTGTCCTGAGTCAGCCAAGGTGAACTGACCCACCAGCTAAGTGTCGAGTCCCATTCCAGCCCTGAAAGCACAAAGGTGACTGAGGCACGGCCGGGCCTGGAGGAGTTATGGGAAGGGAAGAAGCCAGAGCTCAACAGACCCCAGAGCACAGAGGACTGACATGAACAGGCCGGTGCCAGCAGCTCTGGCTGGGGACTCTTTTTTTTTTTTTTTTTTTTTTTTTTTTTTTTTTTTTTATGTTTTTATTGATTTTAGAGAGGAAGAGAGAGAGAGCAACATTGATTGGCTGCCTCCTGCATGCCCCCTGCTGGGGATCTAGTCCGAAACCACATGGGTCTACTCTTAACCACTGAGCCACACGGGCCGGCTGGCTGGGAACTCTGGATAAAGGAACTGGCATCTGGGAAGGAGGTGGGAGTGAGGACAGGGCTGGGTGGGGGTGGAGGGGGGACTCTGGCCAGAGGGGACAGTGTGAGCAAGTCCTGGAGCGGGGAAAGTGTGGAAGTGACCGCGTCGAGGGAACAATATATAGGCCAGGTCCCCAATCTATAGCTGTCACCTTGCCAGTCTCACCCAGTGGCCATGAGCAGAGAAAGAACTTCCTGGGACAAGAAACCCTGTGCTCAGAGAGGCTGACTGGACAAGCAGTCCTGTGAGGCTAGGCCTGGGGGCGTGGGGGTGGAGCGGAGGGGATGGCAACACGGGGGCCCTGGGTGCAGATTCACAGTCACCTCCCCCAGGTTCTCTGGGAGGGATGTTGCCCCAGGAACAGGGCCCAGGCCCCCCATTGCTTCCATGACCCCACAGCCATCTGAGTAGGAAGTAAAGGTCCAGAACCAGACAAGACAAGGGGTACAGGAGACGCATTCTCTAGGACCTCCGTGGCCACACCATCCTCCCAGAGCCCGGGAGTCAGAGTCGGGGGTTTGCTTGGGAGGAGAGTGTGCGGTCTGACTGCCACACCTTGTCCCCTTCCTCCCCTTTCCTTGGACAATATGGTCTAAACAGAGCCCCGGGGAGGTCAGGGCTGCCTGTACAGCTCTGCCTCGCTGCCCATGCGGAGGGCAGGGTGCAGGTCCCTGTGGAGCTGGTGCTGGTCAGGCACGTGGTCAGGCTCAGGGCCTCTGCCCAGCAGCCCCACTTCCTTACTGATTGTTGTCACCACCCCCCACCCCACCATGGACACAGTGAGGGGCCCAAGAGAGAGTCTGAGCAGCACAGAAGATGCTGGCGACCTGTCTTTACCGACAGGGAACGTGGGGGCCAAAGGGGCACGGCAGGTCCTTTTCCTGGTTCCCGGTGGCTGGCAGGGCCTCCCGCTCTGACCCTGCTGCCTGCGGGAGCCTCCTCCACCCGCCCTTTCCTGATAGCTGCCCCAGTACCTTCAGCCGGCAGCCTCCCTGCTGCTCCTCCACCCCCACCTCCTCTGAGGAGCCTGCCCGGGTTCCCACAGCCTGGCCCCGCCCTCGAGCAGTCATGCCGGAGATGTCCCTGTAGTTCTTGGAGGAAGGATTCACGCCCGGGAGAGCAAGGCCTGTCGGGCGGCCTGTCTTTGTTCAGTGCTGCAGCCCAGGGCCTGGACGCGGGGGACGGGGGGCCTCCATGAGCACCGCTGAAGGAAGAAGGTGCCCCCCCATTTGTCATGGCCCCTCGTGTCTGTCCCTCCACGGCTTCCTCCACCTCATGCCCCTGCCCAAGGTAGCCCTGGAGAGGGTTTTGCAGTCATAACCTTGCACACAGGGCCAGGGACACTTCCCCCAGACCTTTTGAGGGCTCTGGTGAGGTGTGCCCATCAGGGGCATCGGGCTGGACAGTGGGAGGAGGTACAGCCTCTTGTGGGGCCTTGTCCCTGCCTCGCGGGGGAGGCAGAGGCCTGCTGAAAAGGCCCGTCTCCTCTCCCTGCGTGGGAATCATAAACAGTGCTCATCTGTGAGACGACCTCTGATCCCGGCCCTGAAGCCCTTGCCGCCCTGATGAGTAGAGAGGATGCTCTCTCCAGCACTCAGGCCTCTGCCAGGTGGCACCGCCCACTCCTGGACGCAGCCAGCTCTGTCCCTTGGCTGCCCCACGCTGCCCTGGCCTCAGGCCTCAGGGTCACTGCTGGCAGGCGTTGCTACCTGTGGCCCTGGAAGCTGAGGATGGCATGCTGGGCCCCGAAGGTCGGACAGCCTTCCACGACCACCACCAGCCTGACGCAGGGGCCACACGGGCTGGGAGAGGTCACAGGCAGTGCTCAGGGCCACGCTCCAGGCGGCTTGGGGCCTCACCTCCCTGTCCCTCCAGCACCAAAGCCCTGGGATCAGGCTGCAGCCTCAGCTGCAACGGACATGGTTTCATTTTTTTTGTTATGATTTTAAATCATACATAAAGAAGCAATTTTCATTTGTATCATTTAAAGTTTTTTTTTAATTATAATTGCCATCATCCTACTGAACTCAATTTAGTCTTTAATGTCACCCCTGTCAACAGTGGAGTCTATGGGCTCTTAGCCTGACTGGGGTGGGCTTCCAACAAACAGGTCCCTCCTGGACCCAGCCTCACCCCAGGACCCCAGCCCTGGATGGAGCCCACCCCGCTGCCGGCCTGGGTCACAGGGTCAGGCAGGATTCAGGCCAGGGGATGGAGTTGCGTGACCCACATCTGTTCGTATTATTAGCTCCGGAGCTGGCAGGCACGGCTGTAACACAATTCGAGGAACTGTTGACGCTGCTCAGCTTGTGTTTCCAGCCCAGTGACTGGGAGGGACACAGAGAACGGGGAGCCCAGGCTCTGGCCCCTCCCCACCCCCTCGCCTGTTGTGGTGAGAGCCTGGGAAGGCTGTGTGAAGACAGCAGGTCCCTGCAGGGCCCTGATGATGTCAGTGCAGACTCTGGGGCCTTTGGCTGACCCGGGGTCAGCTGCCTGGCTGTGGCATCCTCCCTCACCTGTTCCTGGGTCCCAGCTACTGATGGCCTGCCCTCCCTGCCCATCTCTGCCCCTGTCTACCCCTCCCTGCCCCTCTCTACCTGAAGCCAGGAAAGCGAGGGGGTGGGGTGGTTAGCTGGGAAGAATACTGCCCTAGAGCCCCAGGGTAAGGAAGGAAGTTTTCCCTCTGCCCTGCCTTCCTCCTAGACTCCCACCTCTTCTTTCTGTCGTTGGTGCCTGCAGGTGACAGCGCCCAGGGATAAGCTAGGGAAAATCTGGGCCGTGGCCAGGGTTCCAGGCAAGGTGCCCAGCTCTGCACCCACAGGTGGGGGGATCTTGAGCCGGACTCCTAGGATCCCTTTTCCTCATCTGTGAACTGGGATTCTCAGACCTGCCCAGCAGGCTGTGGGGCA